GGTTTAGCTAAACAAGGGGCAGAAAGGGACTCACTTTTTTGGGCCAAGCTGTAACTGTAGTGTGTTTTCTTTCTTTCTTTCTTTCTTTCTTTCTTTTCTTTTTTTCCTTTTCTTGAGGTTCTTTGTTGCTCTTGGAAGATAAGCGTGTTTGTCTTCCTTTTGTAAATCTTCTACTGATGATTTAATGAAAGTGTTATTGATAAAAAAAAAGGGGGATAAGCACCAGTTGGGTCTTTTCCTTTGAAGGAGATCACAAGTATTTATTCTTTCCAGAAAGACCTCCTAACAAAAGCACCCAATTCTTGGAGGGATGGGCCGATGGGGTTGCACAGAACCTCTTTGATAGGAAAAGGAGAGCCCAAACTATCAGCTGGTTGAATCAATGCCTTGAAGAAGGCAGCGGAAGAAAAAACACCAGATGATGAGGAAGGGGTCCAAATACGTCTATCAGAAATGGAAGGGGCCAAAAAAAACCCATCAAGGGCACAAATCAATCCAACACATCATTTAATTCTGAATCCATTACAACCCTTCCAAGACCCAAATCCCAGTTAAACCTAGCTCTTGAGATAGAGGGAACAAGAAAGGTAGAAACCGGCTCATTTTTTTATCTTGATAGAGCAAAGTAGCAAACAAAGAGGGAAATTTGTCTTTCAAAGGAGGGATGCCCACCCAGATTTGTTCCTAGAATTAATATGGTTTTCAAAACAAAGATCGTACCTAGAATACAGCAAAAACGAAGGCAAGACAACATGGATGGCCTTCCAAGGGAAAGCTCTAGTAGCCCTAGTTAGTACACCAGCATCCCCACAATAAGCCGCAAGCCCATGGATGCTTACCACCACTTTAGCCCAAAGTTTGTCTCTATCCATAAGTAATCTCCACAACCATTTCGCCAATAATGCTTCATTCCTTTTTAGCAAGTTACCTAGACCTAGACCACCAACCTCCTTACTCCCACAAACCACATCCTAACTGACTCCATGGTCCCTTACTCACTTTTCTCCTCCCTTGTCTCCAACAAAAATCCGTCATCAACTTTCCAATTTTCTTCCCACATTCACTAGCATCTTGAACACAGACATGTAATACATAGGCAAATTAGCTAGAGTGGATTTTAACAAAGTAATCCTTCCTCCTAAGGACAGGTAATGTTTTTTTCCAAGAGGCAAGTCTTTTATCAACCTTTCTACAATTAGGTCCCAAAAACTACTCTTCCTTGGATTGTATCAAAGGCCATTGAGACACCTCACACCCCATGATATTGGCATACATCATCATCTCCGTTTCCATATTAATACCCACAATACAACTCTTCTCACAATTTACTTTAAGGTTCGCAATCTGCTCGAAGAGTAGCACTGTTAGCTTAAGATTCTTGACCCACCTTCTATTCCCTCCTTCACAGAACAAAATTGTATCATCTGCGAATTGCAAGTGTGTGACTGGCACCCCATCACGACCAACTTTCCAACCCCTTACTAAACCTTGTGAATCCGCCTTGACAATCAACTTCTTTCCAAGGACCTCCACAATCAGGGTAAAAAGGGAGACAGCAAGAGGTGATTTCCAAGCATAAGCCAAAAGGAAGGGAGACAATCAACTTTCCAACCCCTTACCTTGATCCACAATGAGCCCTTCCTGCAAATCTTCCGAAGGCAATCCACCTTCAAATTCTAACACCACCTCCTTACCTCCAATATCAGTACCTTCCAACTATACCTTCAAAGACATTCTATGAGGAGATTACCTTGACCACATCTGAGACATATGCCTCTCTTTGTCTTGATCAATCAGACCTTGCCCTTCAACCACAAGCAACCCATCTCTAGAGCTTTCGTCAACTTCCTTAACACCAGCCACTGCTGACTCACCAGTGACAACATGCAAAACCTTATTTGGAATCCCCTCTTTGGAGTTTTGGATTTCTTCCACCCAAACCATCTTCCTCTTACTGTTAGACAAGACATTGGTTTGGACATTGTACTTTGCCTTTTTAACCAACAAAAAAGATTAACTCTCCCTTTGTGCACAGTTAGGCACATCTGTTTCTTTTACTTCCTTTTCCCTTATTTTCTATTTCGACCCAATAATTAGATGAATCCAGAGATCTTTGAACCAATTGTACATACTAAAAAAATAAAAAAAAAAAAAGAGCATAAGAAATTATAAAAACACAAAGAACATTGAGTGGAAAAGCCTGATATATATATTGCTCAAATATCAGAATACCATAGAAGAACTACATTTTTTTCTAAGGTATAACCAAAGAAGAACTAATTAGGGGAAAGAAATATTACGGATCTAGATAATGGATCATTTATTGATTCTCTTAAATCAGCAATACGAATTCGTGTTGGATCAGATCTAGCACCTGCACCTGTTGCAGAGAGTACCTTCAAACCCTTACGTACACATGCAGCTAGAAGAGCCACCTGATACATAAGACTAATTAAACACTTCTAAATCAGCAAAAAAAAAAATAGTTTAACAGTGCCAACTTTGTTTATGTATGTTAATGTGGGACTGCACATATATAAATGATTTTAAATAAAAAGATTAAGGTGGGAAGTAAGGGTAGAACTTGGGCAGGACAGGATTGAGATTTTATTAAAATTTGATGGCCCGGGCCTCATGCAGCGTAAATTCTTCAAATCAGGTTACTTGATTTGCACCCCTAGAGGGAGGGACAGGAAAGTAGATTACAATACTTGGTTTCTGACAAATTCTCGTTTTGAAAAATTAAAGTGTCACCCTAGTCATGCATCACACCTAAAGATGCTGGCAGGTCTTTACAAGACAGAGTAAAAAGTAGGCAGGAAGACGTCTTTCCAACATTTAAACAAAACTATGAAACAAAGGTAAATCTTATTCATAGAGGCAAAGCTAGTTCCAAATATCAGGAAAAACAATATTACTTAGCTAAAGAGGAGCTGTATCCAAGTCCCCGAGTTATTGAAGAACAGCATAAGGTGAAGGCAAGCAATTTCTGCTTTACCAGGCAGTTGTAGACTCTTGGTTCTGTGGGGATTGAGGAGGCTTACTGCGGAAGGTGATCTGCGGATGATTGGGTGCTTGATAGATGTTGCCAATCTACCTCAAAGATTAATTTCATGCTGAGAGAGGCTAAACCTTTGGCCAATAAACTGAGTGTCTCTTTCACATCGATTCCTAGGCCTCTTGGCGACTGAGATTCCTAGGTGATTTACTGATTTTTCTTGTACTTTGTAGCTTTATGGATCTTCTTTCGTTGTATTTTCTGGATAACTTCATTCTTGTGGGAAAAAAGAAGCATGAGAAAATAGGGATAGGAATGAACCGGATTATCAGAAGTTGCATTTATGGAGTATTCAACACAGTTTGTATAGAATAGACTGCTACATTCATTTGAAAGCAATTAAACTACCTTTGTATCAATGTTATCAATGCAATCAAGAACAAAATCAGGCTGTCCTGAAAGAATTTCTTCTTCAGATGATGCATCATACAGTTGCACTCTTGCATCAACTTGGCACTCAGGGAAAATGGATGAAAAGTGCTTCTTCAGGCACAGGGCTTTTGGGATTCCAACATCCTCTCTTGTTGCCACAGCATGCCGATTCAGAGATGAAAGTGATACCTGGCCACACAATCAATTTAGTTATTAATGTAAATAATACCTAACATCACCACACCTAGAATTAATAACTAAAGGTGTTTTTATAGCTAGATGTGCTAAGTGCTATGCATTGACGTTGTAACTACAGAAAATGTTTAAGTAGAATTAGTTCAATAACCTGTTGGAATTGACTACAACAATTAGAGTCTGAAGCTTAATAACACCAAGCACTTCAAAAATATTCTTAGGGTGGTCTATGCTATTCAGATGGGATTGGTTTTTGAAACTCTCTGACAGAATAATTGAAAGCTCTAATTCTTTTTTTTTTTTTTTGGAGAAAAGGTAAAGGTGGAATTGACAACTCTAATTCAAGGTCTTAAACTGCTAGCTACACAGAATTGGAGGGATGTGCTAATAAGGGGATGACAAAGTTGTTATAACTTGGATAAACTCTAGAGAGGATCCTCCATGGAGATTCAGATCTTTGGTTAGGGAAGCCTTCATTCTGGGATCTGGGTAGAAGTCTGAACTGCCCATCCATGTGGATTCCCAGATCTGCCAATTCCCTAGATAGCTTGGCTAGAGCAGGTGTTTCTAGACATGTGTGTGATTGAGGAATTCCAGGTCCAGGGGCCTTACTGTAAGATTGCAGCAGGGTTGCTTTTATTAGTCTGTTGTTCTGTGTGATCAAATTTTTGCTGTTTCTTTGAATTGTCCCTGCAGCCTATTTTGGCAGTTCAGATCTTGTTTCTCATCTTTAATAAATAAAATTCTTTTAATTTTCATCAAAAATACTCTTAGGGTGGCAATAGATAGGGTCATCTGGGTGGAATAATCAAATTCAGGTTAGGTTGGGAAATGGCCAACCAACCCCAAAACATAAAATCAGGTCGTCACCAGGCAGGACCCCTGGTTCATGCAAAGACCAAGATGGGGTTTGCAAGGGTTATACTAAGATCAGGTTAGATAAGGAAATGCCTGGCCAAATTTATGCAGATTGGGATTAACAAACATGAAACCTAATGTTGGACAGTGTATGTCCTCAGAATCCAATACATGATGTAAACTGCTTTTTTGTAATAAAAGAAAGAAATTTATTAAAATAAAAAAGAAGAATACAAAGGAAAGTGACCAACAGTTACCTAAGAGAAGAAAAAGGAACCCTACTTCTCCAAACGACTAAGACCAAACTCAAAGAAAACAAAACACCCAACCACTGACAAAAGTAATCCACCACACCAACCAAAACTCCCCTGCTAAACAAAAAAAAAAAAAAAAAAAACACAGGACACTAACAATACCCTAAAAGTCAAAACAAGATGAACCAACAATCCATAGCTTAATTAGAAGATTCTCTACTTCTCCTGCAAATGTCTTCCACTTCAACTTCTTAATGGTGAGACCCTACCTCATCTACTAATCTCTTGCTCTTTTGTATCTTGCATTTGGGACTACTTTTCCTCACTCTTTGGCTGCAGATGGGAACCCCCACAAGATGTGGTCAGCTTATTCAACTCTAATTCTATGCGGCTACAGAAAAAAGGGCGAAATGCTTATGGAAGGTAACAAGAGCAGCTGTAGTTTGGACCATCTGGGAAAAAAGAAATCAAAGAATTTTCAATGAGAAGAGCAGGTCAAGAGAGGAAGTAATTGAAACAATCAAAATCAGATCTGCACACTGGGTAAAAACTATTGGCATATTCAAAGATATCTCAATAAATGATATAATGAGAAAATGGAAGGAAGTGACTCAGATGAGAACACATAAAGAGATTAATAAGATGGACTGGAAACCTCCAGAACAACATAAAGTGAAGCTGAACTTTGATGGCAGCTCCCCTGGAAACCCTGGGAGAGCAGGAACAGGGGGAGTATTCCGGAATCACAATGGGGAAATTGTGGCCTTGTACTCAGGACCAATTGGGTATGGAGACTCAGTTCAGGCAGAAACCATGACACTCCTACAAGGCCTGAAATTAGCAGAACAATTAGAAGCTAGAGAATTGGAGGTGGAGGTGGGGTTCACTTCTGGTTATTTTCTAAATGAATTTGTATAATGATTTTTTCCCAAGATTCCATCAAGGTAGAAGGCATAACACTGCTTATTACATAGTAGGGTAAGCCCTTCCTTAGTTTACAATGTGTATTAATGGTGGAAGGATCATGTTGCAACTTGCAAGTGTTCAATTAGGCCCAAAACCTAATAGACACACATCAGTTAGAACCATTGGGTCTGGGTTCTGAGGGTGGCAAAGCCTAGACATAAAAAGTAAGACTTAATGGGCTGATTCAAAGGCCCAATTCCTATGGAGTGCATTCTCCTTCACAATAAAGGAGAGTTCAGCCACAGTGGGTCCCATAAGCTAGGAGTAGATCCAAGAGAGTGTGAGACTTCTATTATGGTTTAAGCTGGGCTCTTATGGGTCCCACACCTTACAAGCTAACTTTCTCAAGTTGCCTTTTGAGAATTAGAAGGATTCTGAATCTGGTTTGTTGAGACTTGAGAATTTTTTTTTATCAGTAACAAAAACAATTCATTAATGAAAAATGAGAGATAGGTACAACGGCATGGGGGAGATAAACTCTCTTAACTCCCCCCAATAATCTAAAAATTACAGATAAGCCCAAAACAAATGATTTCTTCCCACCCCTTAGGTTTCAAAATATCTTGTGGTCCAACTGCATTGGCTGATATGGCTCCGCCCATAATGGTCCAACTCTTCAGCATCCTTCGATGAATGGCCAATGGCCTTTGACCCTTTGTCAGTCCTCTCCCCTCCACGTGTGACCCATTCCTCAAGAATAACATTGTCTTCTACCTTAGAATCTTTCAGCCATAGAGACGCTTCAGCTTCCAGCAGGACCCAGACCTTGAGCCAGAAGCCATCAATGAACAGGTTTATGCATCTAGGGAAACACCACAGACAATAGCTTGTGGGTTTCCATAATTTGGCTTTTCCTCCTTCAGAATCTCCCTAGAACTCAGTTCATCGCAAACTTCTGGGCTATTACAATTTTTTGAAACTTGTTTTTCTTCCAAATTAAGCATAAACTCCTGTAATAAGTCTGCAAACGTTGTCCACCCTGTTCTCTTTCTCCCCTCCAGGACACACAGCATCTGTCTTCTGCTATCACCAAAAATTTCCAAGATTACCGCAAACCAACCTTATACATACCTTCTCATTTCAACTTTGGACCTTTTCCAGCTACTCCCACCACACTCTTCCAACCATGTTTTTTAATGGAGAGTATTGTTCCATCAAAAACACCCTTCAGCCACCCAAGCACCTCTCAACTACTACAATGGTGGCTCTTTTTTCTTCTCTGATTTTTAAAATCCACCTGCCATTGTATCTCCCTTCTTCAAAGCAGAACGTTTTCGCTTTGATGCCCACTTCCCTCCACCATCTCCATCCTTGTCGATCAGCTTGTGGATCCATGGATTCAATGTCCATCTAGCCTGTGAATTTGCTTACTACTCTTATAGTGATAGTCATGAAGTTAGTGGACCCATTAAGCTATTTTGTGACAATCAGGCAGCTATCATATTGCTCTCAACCCTGTAAAACTTCTTCTAACCAGATCAATACAGTCGATCTAAAAACCCTAGATGTTCCTTCAAATGCCCAAAAACAGATTCAAGCAACAACAGGCTTGTAGGACATTCTCTGATACCATGTCAAACCCTAGTTCAAACAGAAGAGAAAACAGGTTCGGGGGTGTCGAATAAATCAGTCAACCCCAGCCCCAAAAGGCCCCTAATATATTAAAGATCACATATTACATACAAGTACAAATAGGGCTGAAAGAAAATAAAGCTAAATAAAATACATGTACAATATACAACAAGGACTATCCTAATAGGATATGTCAAGTCTCTTCACAAAGGAGGGGATCATTAGGGATCAGTCATGTCAGAGTTTCTCTCCACAAGCTTAGTTTGTTGTCCTTTTTTACCTTAACGTCTGTCAACCTTTGTCCTTTGGTTGACTTCACCTGCTGTTTTCTGGGGTGTGTTTTTGTTTTCTGCTTTCATAACTCTTGTATTCTCTTCCTCTTCTCTAATAAATTTCCATTATTCATAAGAATTGCATGCTTATATATTTTTCCCAATTATAAATATGCTAATAATTACAATACACAAGAAAAAGAATACCTGATCAAAATCCACAAGAAGAAGCCTGCCAACCCCTGATCTCAAAAGCATGCTAGCAGCATGACTCCCAACTCCTCCAAGACCAATGACTACAACGAAGGATTCACTCACTTTCCTTTGAGACTCCAGGCCAAAGAATTGAATGTTCCTAATGTTAAAAGAAAGAAAAAAAGCATGAAATATTCCCAATGGAATCAGGAATAGTTAAATGGAAGAATACAGTAAAATTCCTCTATTTGCAATAAAAAAAGGAATGCAGCAAAAAAACCCAAAGAGTTTGGACTTTGGACCTGTAGTTCTTCCACTTGATTCTATGAACAGATTTTTTTCTTATGAAATCAAATAAAACAGAAATTGCAATTAAATCTTCAAAACCAATCAGGAAAGACCTAAACCTTCAAATTCATTCATAAGCACCACTCTGAAAATTACCGCATTGACAATAAAAAGTACCTACTTATATAACAGAATGCACCATGGTATAAAGGCATAGTGCCCTTTAATATCACCAAAAGCACATAGGTAATGATCACTGGAAGAAAGCCAACACGCTCAATGTCAAACATGATAAGCCAGATAATATGGTGCAGACTTGACATATTAAAAATGAAACAAAGAAAGGAAAGCAAGGATGAACTATTAATAGATGGCAATTCCCCATGATGAGAATACATGGTTCTCTTCATTCATTAGCTCAGAAATTTCAAGAAATCAACATTATTTTTTTCTCAATTTTTGAGCCAAGAAGCAATAAACACAAACGCCTTCTATCTATCTATCTGCCACCACCAGGCTCAGCACACTTCAAAGTTCTGCTAAGTGCTGAATAATGCACAATAGCAGTCAAATAAAAGAGAACGTCCGATAAACCTCTCATTCGGAGTCCTAAGAGAGGAACCTTTTTATGTTGTTTCAGCTGTAAAAGGTTTTAGTATTACCAAATTGATGATACCTACCAGAAGAAAACATCAGTGATCTAGTATCTTTCTAGTATAGATAAATAACTCAAAAGATCATCTTAAGTCCACAAAACCAAAATTCCAAGTGAGTTTATAGGGGAACCGACTAGCAAAAAATGCACTATGATTGTTGTCTTCACATTCAAAACGTCTTTATCTTACAATTTGTCCACATTACATCCTTGCCTTGTCCATTTAAGATAGGATATGGGGAGCCCATTAAAGGGCATACACTAAAGTGCAGCTGCATCTATTGCATGATGAATGAAGTATGGCAGGCAGAAGAAGACTAGAATGGCTTAAAGAACATCTGGCTCATGGATTTTTCAAATGCGCAATACTGTTCACCTCCTACCCCCAAGGGAAAATTTGGTGTTACCATGAAATAACATCTTGTAGCTATAGACCAACAACAAGAACCTGATGAGGACGCACAATGAAATACGTGAAATTGATGCAACGGAAACCTCCTTATGATGTCATAGTCATAGTCATGCTAAGATGCAAAGGCATGCCAAGGCCCTAGCCTAGAACCAAGGCATCATATTACAGGTTCCATATGACCAAGTTACTGAGTAACATATGCATTCAAGACAGAAAAGCATAAATTCAAAAAAAAAAAAAAAAACAAAAGACAAAGAAAGAGCACCAGAGTAACAATTATAAAAAATAGTAAGCACGTGAGTATGATTTTCTATCTTATTTTACGTTATCTGAGAATTAAAACTAGTAATTATTATGGTTCCGTTAGATTTGTGTATTCTCCATGTGTTTCTCTGCATATCCACAATAAAAATATTAAAATTTACAGACATGCATTCAACACCAATAGTCTTTGATCATTTCCTTAAAATGCATACCTTTTGAAAAACTTACTATAGAAAAACTTACTTTTTTTAATAGAAAATAACTAAGATTACAAAAAAGATACCAAGTGGGAAGTAAGGCATAAGCAGAAGAGACCAGTCCACCCTGCCCATGCAGCATTCAGGTCTAATTGTCTACCCCAACAGGGCATATGTCCAGTATAAAATAGACCTATCTACTCCCTCCCTAGTTAAAATGCCCACTAATGTATAGATTCTTATCCATCTAAATGAGGTGTCAATTCTGGAGGCTAATAATTTAATCAATGTTCCTTAACCCATGAACCAAGGCCTCATCATCATCATCTAGCATCCACTTGATTGAAATTTGATTATTGAACATGTAAAAGTATAGTAGGAAAGGGACTATCTTCTTAATCTTAACCACTCTTGGTCAAACAGGTTACTTAAGATAACATTGATTATAAAATCAAGGTCCTGTAGTTCACTGTACAAGTATAAAACCCAGATTGATGCATCACATTCTTGACATAAATGAACAGAAACTTGAACACTATTTTTCATAAAAACAAGAAAGTTCAGAAGCAATGTATCAGACTACCTGGTAAGTTGTTCTGAAACTATTTCATCTTTCAATAGGTCCAGCCCAACTATTGTGTCAACAGCAATGCCAAAGCCCCCTCTACCTGTTCCAGAGCTGCATTCTTTATCTGTCATACGATTAAGAGCAGCAATAAGTATAGACTACATTCCTTATACAATAATCAACAGAAATGACGGGCTAGGGAAAACATTATTTGCTAACAAAAATGATTCCTATATTAAAATATTTTAGGTAGATACTTGAAAATGCTAAGTTGTAAGCACTCAACACTTAAATAATGGAAAAAAAAAACAAGCTAAAGACACAGCATTCCAATTTTTTTCCTGCTCACACTCCAAAAGCCCTGTCATTTCATAAAAATTTAAGCCTCTCTGCAAGATTCTTATCAAGGAAAAGTCAAAAACGATGAAATGAAAAGCTTTTTCTAAATAGGGCTTGGAGAGAAGTGGGGGTATGAGACTTAAAAAAACTTGCAGATGGCTTGTTCCTCTTCATTTTCTTGTCCAGATTTGAAGCTGAGTGGGTGATCCAGAATGGTCCCTGGCTGTTGGGGGGATCCAACATGTTGCTAGTTTGGTGGGGGGCGAGTGCAGGATGCTTCTAAGTTCTATCCGGAAGTGGAGGACCAGTAGGAACCACTGGTGGAGAAAACCTGGATTAGGATTTATGGCCTCCCTCTACTGCTCTGGTGTCCAAATGTGCTAAGAGCTGTGAGGGATGCCTGTGGTGGGTTCATTCAAATGGACAATTCTCTCAGTGAACTAGCGACCTATGAATGGCTTTGGGTGAAGATAAGAGATGGTAGTAACATCCCTGAAAAAGTGGACATTGTAGCTGGCGAGGTGATCTTCACTGTTCGTGTTTGGCTGGAGACCCTTCCAGTGGTGCGTAGGTGGAAGCCAGGTTCTAAGGGTTAGGAGATCGTTCATTAGAGGCCGAGACAGCTGTTGGAAATATTCAAAACAGTTGTTCTTTGTGAGGAAGGGGACAAAAGTTTCTCTTGCAAAGGCGGTCAAGAGAAGGGGCCGGCGACCTCCCCACTTTCTCAATCTCAGCAGAGGGTGGAATCTCTAGTCTTGGGCAGTGGAACAAGGTTGGGAGGTGAGGGAGGAAGATTAGACAGGGGCCATCCGATCGTTGCTTCATTGGTCAGGATGAGCAGGTAGGGGGGAAGAGGGAAGTGAGGGAGTTTCAATTTTTGAATTCTAAAAGTGAGGGGAATGCTTTAAATGTCAACTCCCTAAAAAAGTTGATTAAGTAATGCCTAATTGAATTCCAAGTAGTGCTTGGGGGGGGAGGGGTGTAGTCAGGAGGGGGTAGACCCAAAAGGGGGAGATTCTTTAGGGGTTGAGGAAGATGCGGGTTCTTTAGAGCAGAGCCAGAGCCCTATCACTCTACACCCGAATCACAAAGTGGGACCTGGTGGGGGCCATACCTCAAAAGCCGCCAGCAAACCAAGACACCTCAATAGACCCCCGGTCTTGGTTGGTCCAAACTGGTTAACCCAACCAAGGGTCTCAAGGGAGCCCAGCCCAGTTCGAAACCAAATTTGGTGTTTGGTAGGAATTTTCCTGCTAAAGCTGTTGGAATTGGAAGGAGCCCGACCGCAACACCTGATCAAGACAAGACTGCGGGTCTATTAAGGCTTCAAAAACAAGTAGGTCAGCTAACAAGACATTGCCTTCCCCATCTACCTAGGTTAATTCAAAATTGTTGGAGTTGGGAAGCTTTTAGGGGGTGTCAATGGATGGGGTGGAGGAGGAAACAATAAAATATCTGGAGGCAATGGATCAAAGGGTGTTAATGGAAAGGGGGAAGCTAGCAGCAAAAAAAGGGGGAAATTCCATGAAGAAAAATCGGGAGATGTTGAGACTGACTTGGGGCCTAAATGACAGAGCAGGGAGTTGTGACGGGGTGTTGAGGGGAGAAAAGAAGTATTAAGAAGGGGGTTGCTAGTGCTCTTCTTACTGTTTTTTTTTTTCCTTATTTTGTTGATGGAGTTGAATTTTCTATCTTGGAATGTTAAGGGGTTGGGGTCGTGTAGGAGGAGATGCAACCTAAATTTCATCAAAAAGGGAAAATCTCACCAAGAGCAAATGCAACCTTCCTAGCCCTAATACCCAAGAAGAAAGAGGCGAGAACTCCTAAGGACTACAATCCTACAAGCCTTGTGGGTAGCCTTAACAAAATCATTGTAAAGGTCTTGGCAAGTAGGCTAAAGGTTGTTTTGCCCTTGGAAATATCCCGAAATCGAGGAGCCTTTGTTGAAGGGAGACAAATAGTGGACCAAATCCTAGTTGTAAATGAGTGTGTAGTAGCAAAGTAGGGAGGGTCCAGAGGGAAAGGTATAATTTGTAAATTGGGCTTTGAAAGAGCCTATGATATGGTGGACTGATCTTTCCTTTTATGTCTATTGGAGAAAATTGGTCTAGGAGAAAGGTGGAGGAAGTGGATCAAAGGTTGTGCTAGTTCAGCACATTTCTCAATACTAATTAATGAAGTGGCTAAGGATTCCTTCCTAGCAAAAAGAGGAATAAGGCAAAGAGATCCTCTCTCTCCATTCTTGCTCACCATTGTAGTTGAGGTTCTAAGTAGGCAAATCCTCAAGGCTGATCAAGGTCTTTTCAAAGGTTGGAGGATTGGGAGATCTGAGGTGGTAGTGGCTCACTTGCAATTTACAAATGACATTATCACTTTTTGTGAGGATTGTGGTGAATCCAACTTGAGGAATTTGAAAGCATTAGTTGAAGAGTTTTAAAGGACTTCAAAGTTAAAAGTTAATTGGGGAAAGAGTTCTGTGCGAGGAGTTAACATGAAAGAGGATGAAACCCAATCTTTGGCACAAATACTAGGCTATGAGGTGAAAAGATAGCCAGTGGAGTATCTTGATTTGCCGTTGGGGGGAATCCAAAATCGGAGGGCTTTTGGAAACCAAGTGTAGAGAGATTCACCAAAAAGATAGCCATGTGGAAAAGAAACTACATCTCAATGAGGGGAAGGATTACTTTGATTAAGTCCACCATAACAAACTTGCCCACTTACTTCCTGTCCACCTCTAGAATCCTAGCAAAAATAGCTACACAGCTAGAGAAGATAAGAAAGGGCTTCTTATGGGAACCAGGAGAGGAAAAAAGAGACCATTTAGTAAAATGGGAGCAGGTTTGTAGACCTAAAGAGGAAGGTGGGCTAGGAATTGGGAACTTGGTGAAGAGAAATACAGCTCTACTAGGCAAATGGCTGTGGAGGTTTCCCCATAAGGAAGATAGACTATGGCATAGGCTCATTGAATGCATTGATGGTGCAACAAACAATGGTTGGGATGCAAAAGTAGTGTCTAATGCAGCTTCAAACTCCCCTCAGAAAGCAACCTCTAAGATCTTGCCTATTTTTACTAACTTCATCCATCTTGAGGTAGGGTGTGGGAATAATGTTTTATTCTAGGAAGACCTTTGGCTTGGGGACCAACCCCTCCTTTTGTGACTCTTAACCATTACTAGGGGTGAGCATAATTTGGTTAAAACCAAAAAAACCGAATTGAAATTTTCAGTTTCGGTTTTTTCGGTTCGGTTTTCAGGTTTTGGTTAAGTCAGTTTTCGGTTTCAGTTTTTAGAATTAGAAATTCAGTTAACCGACCTTTGGTATATAATATATAATATGGAACATATGATGTATAATATATTATATTATTTATGTATTGAAATATAATATAATAAAATTTGCTTTTATAATATACATTATAATATATAATTTATATTATGTGTTATAATATATAATTTATATTATATGTTATAATATATAATATAGTATATGCATTATTAAAATTCAGTTTTAACCACAAATTTTGGTTTCGGTTATTTTAGTTTTTCTACAATTTGGTTTTGGTTATTTTAGTTTTTCTACAATTTGGTTTCGGTTTCAGTTTTTATTTTTTTAATTCGGTTTTAAAAATTCCGATTTATTCAGTTCAGTTTTTAACCAAATGCTCACCCCTAACCATTACTCTCTGTCAAACCTTAGGGCTGAACCTATTGCTAGGGTTGGTGTGCCCTCAAACAATGGGATGAATTGGGACTTCGGGTTCAAAAGGAACCTAAGAGATAATGAATAAGAATGGCAATAAGGTGGGTTTGGGGCGGGGCACCCCTTCCCCGTAGCCAAAATCCCTTGCCCCATCCCCGGTGGTGGGGTGGGGCACCTCATCCTTATCGGGGACAAGGAATCCCCAAATTTTCCCTGCCCCAAATCAACACCTAAAAATACATCATATTATGGAAATTTAGGGGTATTTTAAACATTAAATTATTGGATCCCAAACGTTTTAGGAATTTGGGGAAATTTTAGAAATTAATGTTAAACCTAGGCATATTTTAATAATTTACCATCGGGTTCGAGGAATTATATGCAAAACCCGTCCCTTCCCTGTCCCCAGTTCATGGAAAAATTATTTTCCCCGTCCCTGCCCCATCCCCATCCCCATTTAAAATCGGGAAAACCCGCCCAATTCGGGGTGGGGTGACGAGCAAGGCAGGGTGGGGCCCCAGTTTTACAGGGAAAGTTGTCATACCTAATAATGAATGTTATTCTCTCCTTGTCCTACTATCAAAATTGGAGATGGCTTATCTGGATCAAAATGGCTTTGATAATAGAATTTGGCATCTGGCTCCTAATGACTTGTTTTCTTCTACTTCCTCTATTAACCTACTTACCTGGTCTGACACTACGGGGGTAAAATTTCCTATGAGAGAAATCTGGTGCAAACCAATTCCCCCTAAAGTACAAGGTCTTTGTTGGGAAATGTTCCTAGGGAAGATAAATACCTATGATGTGGTACAAAAAAGAAGGTCAAATAATTGCCTTTCTCCTCGTGTGTGTTCTTTGTAATCCTTGTGGTGAAACCCTTCCTCATTTACAAAATCTCCTGGTCCTTTGTGTCTTGTATTTGGGATTACTACTTCTGCTCTCTTTTTGGTTGTAGATGCCCCCCCCCACAAGGCATAGTGAGCCTTTTCAGCTCAAATTTCCTAAGGCAACAGAAGAAAAGGGGAAGATGTATGTGGAAGGTAGTTCGAGCAGCCTTAGTTTGGTCTATTTGGGAAGAAAGAAATCAGAGGATATCCAATGAGAAAAGTAAGTCAAAGAAGGAGGTGATTGAAGCCATTAAAATCAAATCAGCACATGGAGTGTAAGAATGGAGAGAAGTGGTACTTTCAGAAACACATAGAGAAAGTGTAATAATGGAGTGGAAACCACCATGTTTAAATAAGTTAAAGCTAAACTTTGATGTTGGTTCCTTTGGTAATCCAGGGAGCAAGAATAGGGGGAGTTTTTTGGAACCATCAGGGAGTAATAGTGGCATTATTCTCAGGACCAATTGGATTTGGTGACTCGATTCAAGCTGAAACTCAGGAACTTTTACAAGGATTGAAACTTGATGAACAATTAGGGCAAAGGAATTGGAAATTGAAGGAGATTCACTATTGATCATAACTTGGGCAAAGCAAATTGACTCAGCACCCTGGAAACTCAGATTTATCTTCAGACAAATTGGCCAGCTTGCAAAGAAATATAATTCTAACTCTGGATGGGTGAAAAGGGAAGCAAACAAGCAGGTGGATGTGTTAGCAAAGCAGGGAGATATAGACCCTCTTTATTTTGGGCTTTGTTGTAATCTATTGTATCCTGGGTTACATATATGTTGGATTGTCTTTGCACTGTAACCAGTATTTAATAATTTAATAAATGAATTTTCCTTGCTGATCAAAAAATATTCCCTAACTAGAAATAGTCTTCCAAAATAGGATTCCAACCCAACTCCCCATCATGCATCTCAAGGTATTGGCACCTAGCTCTACTCTCTTAGACAAGATGTGTGCTAAGACATTTCTTTTTTTTTAATGAATATCTGTCAACTTATATTGTTTATAAAACAATAAAGCCCATATGTGTAAAAGTGCTCTTCTTAGAGATAAGGAGTCTTATCTCTAACCTTTGATTTTTCTTTTTCTTTTTATTATAATTGTGCCCAAAACATTTTTTTCTCCTTACCCCTTGCTTTGATAAAGCATCAATCATTCTATTGGCTGCTCTCGGAACCCACTGAACCCTCACCTCCATATCTCTAGTCAACCACCTAAACTTTTTTACTTCATTACTATAGGACCACAAGGCAGCCGCTCTTTTCTACTAAGACTTTTGTCACCACACTATCTTTAACTTTCTTAATCTTACCATAATTTTAGATTATTTATATAAAATATAATATTTATTTATGGTCATATCCTTGTCTCCATAGGTTGATATGTCTGACACCCATGGACAAACGAATACTTGGCATCCATGCCATATACCAAGGTACCAACCAAGCCATTATTGGAGCATGTTTCTGAACTTCTACTCCATCGAAAATCCATGTGATTAGTTCCTTTTCTTCTTCCTCTTTTTTCCCATAGAACAGAGAATCCAAAGGTTCAGATGGTTCTCAAGGGATATGCAACTAACTATACAATGGATACCAAGATTAGAAAATAGTTTGGCTGATCATTTAGCAAAATAAGGGATCAAAATAGTGGACAGTGTTTTTGGGATCAGTTGTAAATAAAATGTTGTCGGGAGAGATAACAGGGGCTATGCTCTCAAAGACTATAATATCATGATGTATAAAATGTGGAAGGAGAGTGGGGGTAGCTAAGGCTACCAAAAAGTTATAATTTCTTTCATTCATAATTGATGAATATATTTTTCTTGCCTACCAAGAGAGAGAGAGAGAGAGAGGGAGAATCCAAAGGTCCAACATCAAGATAATAACTACATGCTAATTTGGTAGTGGTAGAATGAATAGTCTCAATGAAATGATTGCACAGCCCTGCTTATATTTAAATGCATGTGTGTACAAGTCGGCATATCTGAATAAATGCTTCATCCGAGTATGATGCACAACCCCAAAATTGGCCTAAGCATTTGCCAATTCAAGCTAACTCAATTAGCTGAAGGTTTCTGTTATACAAATTTCATTATAAATGAGGGATTAAATCCCTAAAAAGACCTAGTCTTTGAGATCATATCAGCAATTAAGAACTGTTTCTCAGCTTCTCGTTCAAGGCAAATGCATTATATGAAATTCGAAATTTATGTTCTAATAAACATGAATGGATAGTAGAAGACGAGTACGGAACCATCCCCATAACTAGATACCCTCTATAAACTTTACTACTATTAACAACCTTGATGATCAAGGGAAATGGACTTACTGGTCAAATCATGTACTTTGCTAATACACCTATTTGCACGTTTTCTTCTGCAAAACACATAAACCATCAATTATCACCGAACCCAGAATCCGGAAACTTCGGAAGATGGATAGAAACGTCATTCAAATTAAAGATATAACAGAAATGACTAACTAGGTTATGTTTGTTTTTTGAGACTGCGAGCACAGCGAATATTATAGCTGCTGCTTTCAGTAGAGTTCGAGTTGGAATGCAGGAGTTATTTTTCATCATTTCTTATTTGTATATGAGAAAAAGAAATTGAGTGTTCCTACGGTTAACGCACCTGGAAAGAAGCTTCAGAAGACTGATAGTTGAGACAGAACCGAGCAGAGCTCCGGCTCCCACTAAAATCAGGCATTTCAATCTCTCCACCATGTTTCTTCTTTTCTTCTTTTTCCCGTTTTGTAGCCGAAACCTGTTACGTGTTTGGTAGAAGAATAGAAATCCTCTTCTTCGTTTGATAGTCTAGGCTCTATTCAGGACTCAGGAGTCAGGACTCGGGGGAGGCGGTTGATCGTCTGAGCTCTAATGATCGCAGAACGGCAGAACCAGCCTTCATTCTAATTGAACTCTGGGCTTGAGTAATGGCCCGTTGTGGCAATTCGCCCTATTCCAGCCCTAACTTAGTGCATTTTCGTTGAATTTAGGCTAGTTTACATTTGAGATATATGCCTGGGCCTGGGCCATCCCTAATCTGGGCTGGACGGGCTATAACGGCTCTTGCCATCTCCTGCCTTTAGACTTGTGAAATGCCGGGCTTTAGTTCTATGTATTCATAGATTAGACACGTGCCAAACTTTGGACAAAACTTGGCCATGCATAGGAATGGATCCAAACCAAGCTATTGCTAATTGAGTTGGATTCAAATAGTTTGAGGCTCATGAGTCTAATTGAGTTTTCTATATATTTTATTAATTATTTTTTATAATATATAAAAAATAAATAAATAAAATTTTAAGGTTTTGAGTTGAATCGGCTGTTTTTTATAAAATGTATGGTTTTAAATGTTAAATAATCAAGTTAGTCTTCTTACTTTGATGATAGCAGGCAATTTTGATGTATTTTTTGTGGTTTTAAAATGTTAATATAAACAAGTAGGGCAAGTTTTGATCAGTTCGAACTTAAATAGACTTGGCTAGTTGTTGAGCTCAAGCCTAATTGAGCTCAAACATATGAGCCTTTTAGTCTTTATATTTTATCCATAAAACATACTTTCATTCAATCAAGAAATTTGCATGATACAATTTCTTAGAAAGAACAAAATATACACAAGTAATGGATAAAAGAAAAGATAAAGAACTTCTGCAACTGATGAACAGTGAGGTAAGAATCAGCAACAAAAGGATCAATTCAGTGCATCTCCATCCACTAAAACTGAGAGAAAAGACAATAGGGACTCTCAAAGGAAAGGACAAAGTGTTAGAAATAGCACGATCTGAGAAACCACATATAAAATGACAAACCCCAATTAACTGCACCCATTACCAACAATAACACACGTTGGTGAACTGCAACCGCCACCAAGAAACTACAACCGCTACCAATAACTACAACCATCGGAGGAAAATAGTCAAGAAACATGGCCATTGCCCAACACCAAATCAATGAAGAGTCATCCACTTATACCAAAAAATCCCTGCATAATAAGAAGCAAAGAAAAACATAAGAAGAATAAAGGAGAATAATGGGTGAGAGGAAAAATGATGGGGTGATGGGAAAAGGGTGAATAACTGAACAATGGAACGAAGTAATCAGGAGGGAGAGAGGAGTGAGGAGAGGGGAGGAGGGGAGGAGGGGAGAAGAAAAAGCAGGATAAGAGAGGGAGAAAGGGGGAAGAAGAGAAAAGGGAGAGGGGGTACTCCCCGAGGGGAGCCACCCCAATGGACCGATGGCGGAAGATGGACGATGAAAGGTGGACAATGAGAAGAAAACTCGAGGAAAACTTCGAGAGAGAGAGAGAGTGTGTAAACCTTTGGATACCCCAGAACAATATATGAGCCTTTGACTGACAAAAGGTGTCAATAGGAGAGATTGTTCAGACGAATGCAATTGCAATCCTCTTTTTTTCCTCTCTTCTAGATCTTTTGAAGCTTTAACATATAGTAAAATGCAAGGGTTCGATGTGTTGTCATAATGTTGGAGTCATTTAATGATAGTGGGTGGGCTGTCCTATTTCATGCCACCTTTTCGATCCTTAAAAATTGAGGCTAATAATGTAAGGGTCCAAGAAAAAGGGGCTTAATCTCACATAATTTTAAAATAAATATGATTTGGGTCTTACTACAAACCTGCTCTCTATTGCCCAATGCCATTGATCCCCATAGTCAAGATGGTCACTTGGCAGTTGGCACCCCTCCAAATAGGAGGCAAGGGATCAAACATGCAGAACTACAAGCTCTCCATGGTATGACCGATGGGCCTCACGTGCATCCTCCCTCCCTCATGGAGGTTCCATCATAAAATTTTCAGTTGTATTTGTATCTTAAACTTTATTTTATTCCCTTTTTTATATATAAAGAAGATGCAGATGTAAGACAGTATTTTAGGGGGATGTTATTGGAAAGTGAATGGTTTTTTGTTTTTGTGAGTTCCAAAAATAATTTAAAACCATATGGTCATCATCATCATCATCCATGCCTTATTCCAACTATATGGGATCAATTACATTAATGTTGTTTTGCCAATTCATTCTATTTAATCATATCCATTGTTAAATTATTGGTGATTAAATCATTTCTTATTGCCTCCACCCATGCCCCTTTCAGTTTTAACAAATCACTTATATTAATTGAAGTTGTTGGTACTTGGTAGTCTTCTATATATATGCATGTGACTAAACCATCTTAATCTACTTTCTCTCATTTTATCACACATTGGAGCTATTCCTAGATTTCTATAAATGACTTTATTCCTGATCGTTTTAAGTTTTTCTACTCATCCACCCTATCATTCACATTTCTACTACAATGATTTTCTAGATATATTGTTTATTGACTATCCAATATTTAACTTCATACAGAATAATTGTCCTTACAACTATTTTATAGAGTTTCCTTTTTAATCTAAGTGGTATCAACTTACCACACAAAAGACTAGATGCACCCCTCCATTTTATCCATCATACTTTAATTATTTGGGTGACATATTCTATGATTTCTATCTCTCCCTTGTTATGGATTATTGAACCAAGGTACAACTTAACACCATATGGTTCAAAAATAAATTGTTTCTTAAAACAAAAACATGTGAAATATGTTCTCAGTTGTAAATGTGTTTGTTGTTTCTAAAACTACGACCAATAACATGTTCTTGAATTTCCGGTTTGAAAATCATGGTTTTTTTTACTAGACAACAAGGGTTTGCCATTGCCATATCCATAACCCCCAACCCTAGTGACAATGGGATTTGATCCCATGTTTTTTCTTTATAATAGGTAGAGATTGTACCAAGCTACCATCAATTGGTTTAATGCTTTTGTTTTAAATCATACAATATATCTCATCATCTTTTATGAAATCATACAATATCAGTGCATTTAACATCGGCTTTTGTTTTAAAAGCCATCATTTCATGGTTAAAAATCATGAATTGTTTTATGAAAGAAAACCTTGTTTTTCTTCTAAAAAAGCACAATTCAATAACGTATTTTTGTTTTGTAACTGACGTGGCACTTTAAAAAAAAACAAAAACATTTACATTGTAGAAGGCTCCTTAATATCCAATTAAAAGCAATAAGATAATAGGGCTGTCTTTTATAGATTCTATCTTTTTGGGCCAGTAGGTCCTCTTGATAGGACCATCCAATGGTGGGTCTTGATACTTAAACATGGGACAAATCACAAATAAGGGGATCCATACTGAAGATCAAGCCTTTTTTTTTTCTAAGCAAAACAGATAGAATATTTTTCACATAAACAGAAACCTGATTAGAGATAAAGGTATTAATGGCTAGTTAAGGGGCAGTTTTGGTACAGTGGTATTGGTTGCCAATGTGTTTTGAGTTGATCAACACAAATTTGTGAGAAATGTGTTACCGCATAATACCATTTCAACTAAAAAAATGCCTGTGTATGAGAAACATCAAATTTGATGTTTTAGATAAAAAATAGCAAATTGTATTCATCAACTCAAAACATTTCAAGTAAAAAGTTGTCTCTCACACACAAATTTGTATTGATCAATCCAAAAGATATAGTATCAAAATAAGTACATATAGATGTGATGCATGCATTCCATCTATCCAGTTTCATTTTTTTCATGGAGTTTTATCTACTAATCGTTCAGCATAAAAAAAAGGCCTATAACCTGCCCAATAATCAGAATAGGGTGCAAATCAAAATCAAGTTAGCCAGAGTTAGCATTTTACATTACTTTGGGCACAGGACTCGGCCCTTCAAGTCCAGCCCATTTAAATTTTAACAAAAGCCAAGCACCCGCCCAGATTACACCCATAAGTGGCTTCATTTTTTCAAGTGCTAGGATTACAACTGGATTAGTAATCTAATTTCTAAATGAGATTTATCCTTTGTTCACACACTCAAGACTTGGACATAAATTGAAATTGTATATACAAATATACGGTTGGATACGGTTAGGCATGGCTGTTTGCATATAACACATTTCCAACCTGATCTAAGCCCATTATGCAGTCCTAAGACTCCAAACAATTGCAAGCCCCACCAAAGTATTAGATCTTTCATGCTTATTATATCAAGAATTATATCCATGCAACGCTAAATGTTTATACTCCTATAGGCAAATGGAGACTAATAGCAATTCAAGACGTAGCCAACTGGGGTGTTTCAATTGGTACGTTAGCACTTAGCTGGTTTGTTCCAGCAGAGATTTTGGGGAAGGGGGTTATTAGTGTGGTGTTATGCTATTTAAATTGCCCCTATGAGGGATTTAGGTGTAACACTAAAATGTAGTTCACCTAATGGTTTAAGATTTTAGAAGTCTAAGGGGACATTCTTTTTCTGGATTTTGAGAGGGGGGAAAGGTAGTCAATGATATTTTGATTGCCATTGATCAAAAATCCTATGTTCTTTTTTTCAGACTTATGTGGGAACTAGAGAAAGTTTATTTTCCTGGGTATCACTACCCAAGTAAGTGATACCTATCTCGTAGGTGGGTAAAACTTTTCCACCTTAGGGGAAGTTGCCAACACTTGAATGGGACAAAAATGCCCCTTATTATAATTGATTTTTATGACTAAAATAGTCATTGCTTTATTTACATGGGAAATAAAATAACATGGGTAAATGCACTTACCTGGGTAAGTCTTTCCTAGGAAACACTTACTTGGGTAAGTGCAATCACTCAAGTAAGTAATTTACTGAAAAGCAAACGGGGCCTAAACCCAATCCATTCAACTGGGCCAAATCCAAAGATAATTGGGTCAAGGATTATCACCCCTAATAATTAGAGACCACATTTGCCCTTCTTGGTCCATCTATATTAAGGTTGTAAATGGACCAATATGATTAATGAAAAGGGAGCCTGAATCTGATCCAAAATCCGATTAGATTTCGATTTAATCTGATTCTACTTCACACATACGCACACACACTAGCGGGGGTCTATGTGATGCACGGGATGGGGGATGGGGCACCACTCCTTG